CATTCTTCGATAAATGCCAAGTACAAACAAACAACAATTACAATTACAAGAAATCATACATAATATCTCTTAACTGCGTCAGAATTGATAGCCATGTCGACGCATTTCCCTTCGATATCTGTTAAACATAAAGCGCCATTGGGCTTGCTCTGTTCAGATTGCGATAATCAACATACACCCTGATTTTTCCATCTTTTTGGCACGGGCACCACATTAGCCAACCAATCAGGATATCGAGTGGCCCGAATAACCTTAGCATCCAGCTGTTTGGTTACTTCTTCCTTAATCTTCACACTCATGTCGGTTTTGAACTTCCTCAATCTTGACGGGAGGAAATGCCGGGTCAGTGGGAAAATAATTTGAACACCAACAGATAACATACAAAATTGAGTACAAAGATGGCAAAACACACTTTCAAGTATTCTTTAATCAAAGCTCAAACAGACAGAAATTAAATGAAATCATCTACATGTTTAAACAAATCAGATAACCACACAAAGATAGGAAAATAAAGATCCGAGAGAGGAAACGATAGATGGACCTTTAAGAAAAATAACAGGGTTCCAAAATAATATTGCGACAGACCCGCAAACCTCGAGAGGCAATAGAAGTACTCAAAACCAACCTCAGCAACCTTAAGCGAAATCCATTTTAAAACCAAAATCCAAAATTCAAAATGAAGAACAAAATATATTTTCTTTTGTTTTTTACATTTTGCTGGAATCTGAACTCGATTTCCATAGGTGAGAATGAATGAAAGAAGCTAAAATTATCTTTTCTTGTTGCCTCCTTTTTCTGTAATTTAGCACTGTAAATCTTAGAGCAAAAGAAAGGGGAAAACGTATTTAAAATACGTTAGTTTTTCTCCTTTTTGATCCTTAGGGTTCCTTCTAACTAATGATGGTGTAGAGTTTCGTCTTTCTTTGCTTAGGTTGACGGGCGAAGGTAGTAGGGAGATGATGATGGGTGGAGTTGCCGGGTGGTGTTTGGATTCCAGCGGGCTTTGTCAAAGGTGCATTCCGGCAAGATTTGTTGAAAGTGGGCGGCTGCTGGGTGCTCAAAATCAGAGGGGTGGGTGGCTGGTTGGAGATGGTGCTGCTCGGTGAAGAGTGGAGTTCTTCTATTGTTGTTGTTGTTCAAGAAGAAAAACGAAGGTTGCTCCTCTCTTCTCCTTTGTGTGCTACGACTTCTTCTTTGTGTGTTGGAGAAGAAGGGTCATTGGGAGATCTGGTGGGTGTTAGTCAGGTTGAAGAAGAGGAAAGTGGTTCCTTCGGTTATGCCAAGGGTGAGGGGTGACGGCTAGGGGTGTGAGGGGTGTTCCCTAGGGTTTTTGGTCTTGTGTGTATACGAAGAAGAAAGATTAGGGTGTAAGGGTTAATTGGGCCAAGAAGATTGGGCTTGGTGAATTGGGTTATAAATTTGGCTTTTAATTCCATAATTCTTGCAATTTGGCTAAAAATATTAATTTCTTTTCTAAAATAATACCATAAAAATGTAAAAGTAATCCTAATTAACTAAAACAACTATACTATGACATGAAACTATTTTTGATATTTCCAAGGATTATACTAAAAATAAAAATGGGTTAAAAATAATATTTTTCTAAAAATACCTAATACCTTAATTAAATAGAGAAAAATGAAACTATTTTTGTATTTTTTAATTTTGTGATAAAAATACAAGTAAAAGAGTCAAAATAGTTAAAATAATGATATTAGGCCTAAACTAAATATCTAAAAGCTAAAATGAGTAAAAACTCGGGGAGGGTCAAAAATTACATGTCGATCGACTCTCTATCTCGGTATACTCCATCATCTCACTCACTTTTGAACTACATGTGACCTGATTCCTTTATAGCCAAGGATATGTAGGCAGCTCAGATACCAGGACTCGGTCACCTTCCCTTTTTCTCTTAAGTTTAGTCTCTCCAAATAAGGGTCGGATCAAAAAACATATCTAATCGTTCTTTGTCTGAAAGGGGCAGCTGTAGACATGTGATTTTTGACCCTATCCAAGATTTTTTATATTTTAGCATGTAAATATTTAATTTAGGACTAATTTTGACTCTTTTATTTTATTTTATCACAAGAAAATGAAAATAACAAAAAAAAAATAGTTTCATTAATGTTTTATAGTCATTTTTAATCCTGAAAAATACCAAAAATAAGTTTGTTTTAACGGTTAATATTATTTTAATAGTTATTTTTACTTAAGTAGGGCCAATTAATATTTTTGGGAATACTCTATCTTTGTTTTTTTCATTTAATAGGCAAGACTTGATGTTGGATGGATAGATTTTTAGTTAATTGGGTTAATTTTAAGCGAATCTAGTCATAAAAGCCCAAGTTTCTAGCTCATTCCCTGAGCCCAATACCCTTAACTCACATAATAACCTAGACCTAACTTATTGATACCCTACACCGTCTCTTCTTGTAGTTGTGAGCACCTAATTTTTGATAATATTTAATTTTTTTATCACTTCTTCTATGTAAATATTTTAGGGGTTTTAACCTACAATTTTTAGCTTTGTTACACTTTTTATTATTGGGTAAAAATACAAAATTTAAAAGGTGAATTATTACTATTAATATTATTATAGGTGAAATTCTCTTTTAAAAAGTAAAAGAAAGTAGAAAATTAAAAAAATAAAAGTAAAGTTTTGTGGAAATTTTAAAAAAATAAAAAGTAAAAGAAAGTTGGAATTAAAAAACAAATATAAAGGTATCTGAAAATTAAAAAATATTTAAAGTAAAAGAAAGTAGCATTTTTAAAAGAAAAGCAAAAGAAAGTGGATTGTTTTTTAAGAAAAGTTAAATAAAGTGGAATTCTCTTTTAAAAAGTAAAAAAAGTGAGATTTTAAATAAGATAAAAGTAATTAAAGTTGGTATTTAAAAAAATAAAAGTAAAGAAAGGTGGGATTTCTTTTTATAAAAAAATAAAAGCAATTTGTAAGTGGGATTTCTTTTAATTAAAAAATAATAAAATAATATAATATTTTTAAAAAAATCTGAAAAATCTCGAAAATTTTGCTATAAATAGGAGGAAAAAAAAGAGAGAAAAAGAAGGGGGCGGAGAGAGCGGTATACACTCGATATACATTCTGGATATACTGGATATGCAGGGGTAGAATTCATTTTGGAGAGAGTAAAAAAGATAGAACCAAATTTTCTGAAATATTGAGAGTGGAAGAACACCAGAGAGAGTTCAAAGCTAAAAAGAGAAAACAAAGAGAGATTTCCGGACTATTTTTCTTCTCCATTTTTACTGGTTTTCTCCGTGTTGCTGGGATTTCTGGATTGAGGTGTTGAAGCTACTGTGTTGGGCTTTCTGCTGCTGTATTTTACTGTTTGCTATTGTTGATTGCTTACCCCATTTTTCTGTTCTACATATCAGGTACATGTCCGGAAACTCGATGTATGTAAATATTCAGTTGAAAATGAATGAAATGGAGGCCTATTGTTGTTGAAGTGGAGGCCTATTGTTGATTTACTGCTTTCATTATACTGTAATAACCGTACTGATGGACTGTTAATTATAAGTTTGTGCATTTGAACCGTTAAGTGTGTGTTAGATATTTAGAAATGCATATGAGTTTAGTTGAGTATTCGTTGTAATAATTCCATGCTGGACTAACAGAATAGTTTCTATTAGTTTAGTTAATTTCCGGTTTTCCTAGATCTGTATAAATGGTATTTTCAAGCTGTGATTAATTAGGCTGTAGACTGTTAAAGTAGTGTGATACTTCTTCTGATCATGGGAGCTTTATATTTAGTAGTGATGATGTGAGTTAATCTATAATTCTGAGTTTGAGTGGTTGTGTGTGGGTTCGAAATCAGAAAGTTAAAAGTAGATATGAGATATGTAATTCGTAAGGTTAATTTAGGCAATCCATTTTCATCCAACATCCTTAATTCTCGAGTTTCAATTCTCATATGTGGTCACGTTAGTGTTTAATCAAAGTTCATGAGTCAGCATTTTAATAAAAATGAGTCATAGTAGGGAATTTGAAATTTGAACTAGTATGCACCATGCTTGAAATTGTGATCATACGCAATTTACGTGGGTCATGAAATCTGAAATCAGTTGCTTTCCAACTCATGTTTAATGTTGCATTGAATTTATTTTACTGGTTAGTTAATTTTAGTAGTA